GTCGGTTTACACACAGAGAGGGGAGGCGTAGGATGGGGGTCAAAATACTGCTCTGCTGGGGAAAGTTCAAGGACCACTCCCAGATTCTGCTAGCAACTGAGCAGACATGGAATTGAGTCGATCTGCATCGTGAACGTTTTGGACAGATAATAAAGCCTTGAAAAGACCAACGGGAAGTCTTGCCTGTTTGCTCTCGAGCAACCACGCCGGCACACATAACAGATATTTAGGGAATAGTAAAATACCTTATCAAATTCACATTATAAAATACATGAGTAACATAACAAATACAGTCATACCTTGGATCCCAAACACCTTGTGAGTCGAACCTTTTGGCTCCCGAAAGCCGCAAACCTGGAAGTGAGTGTTCCGGTTTGCAAACGTTCTGTGGAACCTGGACGTCCCATGTGGCTTCCGCGGCTTCCGATTGGCTGTAGGAGCTTCTTGCAGCCAATCGGAAGCTGTGCCTTGGTTTCTGAATGTTTTGGAAGTCGAACGGACTTCCGGAACGGATTCTGTTCGACTTCCGAGGTACCACTGTAGTCAAAATGAGTGCTGGATTAAATTGCTGATTTTTAGTGATTTGCGTCATTGCTCATTTTTAAACAATTTTAGGTTCCAAGAATCTAAAATTTTTAAATACAGAAGAGTTCAGTTTTATTTTTTCGTCATACTGTTTCCACGTTCCTTCTACTGACAGTTTCCTACCTAGTTTGCTTAGACTTTCCCCTCTTTGCTAATATTATCACCTAAACTGCATTAAAAGACGCCTGCTTCTTGGGAGAAAAGCAATGACAAACCTAGACAGCATCTTAAAAAGCAGAGACATCACCTTGCCAACAAAGGTCCATATAGTTAAAGCTATGGTTTTCCCAGTAGTGATATACGGAAGTGAGAGCTGGACCATAAAGAAGGCTGATCGCCGAAGAATTGATGCTTTTGAATTATGGTGCTGGAGGAGACTCTTGAGAGTCCCATGGACTGCAAGAAGATCAAACCTATCCATTCTGAAGGAAATCAGCCCTGAGTGCTCACTGGAAGGACAGATCCTGAAGCTGAGGCTCCAATACTTTGGCCACCTCATGAGAAGAGAAGACTCCCTGGAAAAGACCCTGATGTTGGGAAAGATGGAGGGCACAAGGAGAAAGGGACGACAGAGGACAAGATGGTTGGACAGTGTTCTCGAAGCTACCAGCAAGAGTTTGACCAAACTGCGGGAGGCAGTGGAAGACAGGAGTGCCTGGCGTGCTCTGGTCCATGGGGTCACAAAGAGTCGGACACGACTAAACGAGTAAACAACAACAACAACAACCTGAATTCAGCCAGTTTGTTAACCAAAAACAAATGTGAAATAGTTTGCAGAAATCGAGATGATTTGCACCCAGAGCATTCCTGCAATCCATGAACTAGTAACCAAGAAAGAAAGAAAGAAAGAAAGAAAGAAAGAAAGAAAGAAAGAAAGAAAGATTAGTTTTATCCATGCTCTGGCTTCCACTAATCACTGTATAGCTATCAATATGCTTACAAACTGGCTGTGTTATAATCTATTCTCGTCTCTTCCCTGGTATTGAACTCAGATGGATTGTTTTGACATTTCCTGGATCTTCTTCTCCAACCATCCACCTCATACACACAAACACTTCCCTCCCTGAAGACTGGAACAACATTTGCCTGCCCCCCAGCAGCTGTAGGACCCCCGAAAGCCTTCCTCACAACACTGTGAGCATGTGTAGACTTTTTAAAAATATGCAAATACCTAGGTACATATAATTAATTGCTTTGAAGAAACTACGGCTAGGAAGCAACATTATATGACATCTCATAGCTGTTAAAAGTTTGTATGGTGGAAATAATATTTTACTAGGACTGAAACCAGGTAATTCTAAAGTAGAGTTGATTTATAGGAGCGGAGTCTGAATGATTTATTGATGAGCCCCAAATCTTTTTCCTGCTCATATCCCTCTAAATTTATTCCATTGTATTTCTGTATTCTCCATTATGATTATAAACCACATTTGTGGTGTTATGACTATGGAAACTATGTAAGTATTTTTTTTCCTGGCACCCCAACTTGCAAATTGTTGTTGTTGTTTGTTCTAAAAACAAAAACAAAGCATTGTAATTAATAGCTTTTTTCAAGTTAAAATGTCAAAATGTCCTTCTAATGTTTTGTGGGTATAATGTAATGCATCTCTATTTATAAAATGTTAGTCATGTTTCCATCTAATAAATTCACTGCAGATCCACTGATGGAAATTATTATTTTGTTTCAGAATGTCATGATTATTATTCTTTTGCGGCTCAAGGCTACTTGAGGGAGGGGGGACTGCACAGGGCTTTAATGTGTCTTTGCAGTTATCTATTTATTCACTTACGTTGAATATCGCTAGACATATGAATAAAACGATTCATACCAAAGTTAAAGATATTCGGGCTGAAATCCTATACAGTCGTACCTTGGTTGTCGAACGCCTTGGTACTCGGATGTTTTGGCTTCTGAACGCCGCAAACCTAGAAGTGAGTGTTCCGGTTTGTGAAGGTTTTTCGGAAGCCAAATGACCCACGTGGCTTTCGCTTGAGTGCAGGAAGCTCCTGCAGCCAATCGGAAACTGTGCCTTGGTTTTTGAACAGCTTAAGTTTGACAACCAAGGTACCACTGTACACACTTACCTGGGTGTAAGCCCCAAATACTGTCCTGGGGTGCAGGCCTGGGGAATGTGTATGAGGGTCCTGAGCTGCCCAGACGACACCATCTCTCAGCCTCCCTTATGTGGTTCACACAAAAGCAGAGCAATACATTTGGCACCAGCTTGGCTGCAGGAGTTGCGGGAAGGAGGTGTACAAGGCACCATCCAGCCATTTCAGGAGCTCCACCCCCCCTGAGCCTTGCCTTCTCCCAAAGATAATCGGCAAGGCAGCAGAGATTTAGGATCAAAGCTTTCCTTCTAGGTGGGCTACCTTCTCAGGTTGACAAGTCCCATCTGCCCCTCACTTGCCTCTACAGCAAGTGTAGAAACAGCCTTCTTGTCTGTTGGACCCAGTTCTTTTTTCGGGTGGGGGGGTACACAGGGGTACACATACCCCTAAACATTTTGTGAATCTAACAGGAGAAGAAACTAAAAAAAAAATGACTTTCTTCTCTAGCGTGGTGAATCGTCAGTTCCGTTGCTATCCCCGATGGCAGCCTCATTTCCTGTCATGGTGTTTCCTGAGTCTCAGACAGGGTTCCTGAGTCTGTGGGTTAAACCACAGAGCCTAGGACTTGCCTATCAGAAGGTCGGCAGTTCGAATCCCCGCGACGGGGTGAGCTCCCGTTGCTCGGTCCCAGCTCCTGCCAACCTAGTAGTTTGAAAGCACGAAGTGCAAGTAGATAAATAGGTACCACTCCAGCGGAAAGGTAAACGATGTTTCCGTGTGCTGCTCTGGTTCGCCAGAAGCGGCTTAGTCATGCTGGCCACATGACCCAGAAGCTGTACGCCGGCTCCCTCAGCCAATAAAGCGAGATGAGCGCCTCAACCCCAGAGTCGGTCACGACTGGACCTAATGGTCAGGGGTCCCTTTACCTTTACTAAAAAAAAGAAAAGAAAAAAGAAAAAAGCAGTGGTTGGACCTCCTATTGGTCTTGTCCACTTAATCTGCCGGAACCTGTCTTCACATGCAAGGGGACTCCCTAACTCTGAGAAATTCATGCTAAAATGCTGGTTAAGTTTTCATTATGATTTTATTTATTTATTTATTTTAAAAAAAACATGATGTGGAAATGTGCAGGACTGAATCTATGATGTCAGATTCACTCATTCCTATTTCAAATTGTATTTGTGTGTGTGTGTCCCCACCCCCAATTGCAGCAACACCAGCAGTAGGAGCAAGGATTGGACTGGGGTTTGTTTTATTTATTTAACAAAACCTATATACCACTTTACTCTAAATAAACCTCTCAGCAGCTGGCAGAGAATACACAATACATATCGAACTTGTCAATAAAAATCTGTGTTAATTTTTTTATTAACAATTTCAACATAACAAAATATCAAAACAGATCATATTCATTATTTCCCTCCTTTTTTACCCCACCTCCCCATCAAACCCTCTCCCCCAAGACTTCCCTCAGCTCCTCTCTCTGATTTCTCAACACATGTTATTCTCTGCATACTGTAAAATTGTATAAATCCTTATATTATCTAATTGCAGATTAAAATATGCACCAACTTTATATGTCTTGGTAGACTTGCCTAAATGAAATATTTTTTAGCATGTGACAAAAATAACCATAGAATTGTAGAGTTGGGAGGTACCCAAGGGTCATCTAGTCCAACCCCCTGCAATGCAGGAATCTCAGCTAAAGCATCCATGGCAGATGGCCATCCAAACTTTGCTTAAAAACCTCCAAGGAAGGAGAGTCCATCACCTCCCGAGGGAGACTGTCCCACGGCCAAACAGCTCTTACTGTCAGAAAGTTCTTCTTGATGTTTAGTCGGAATCTCCTTCCTTGTAACTTGAAGCCATTGGTTCGAGTCCTACCCTCCAGAGCAGGAGAAAACAAGCTTGCTCCATCTTCCATGTGACGGCGGTTAAGATATTTGAAGGTGGCTATCAAACCTCCTTCCAGTCACCTCTTTTCCAGGGGAAACAGACCCAATTCCCTCAACCATTCCTCATAAGGCTTGGTTTCCAGATATAGGGGAAGCATCCTGCCTAATGTCAATGGGCAGGGAGTTCCAGTGTAGGAGCCTCTGCGTTTTAGTCTGTTTCCTTACATGTGCAAAATGAGCATTGTGTTCCATTTGTCTTAGCCGCTATGCTATGCTGCTTGCAGGTGAAAGCTTGGGATCTTTACATGTAGAGTATGGGGGGCGGGTTTTGTGTAGAAGCAGTTCTGGGGGCAAAATGAGCAGCTGCTGCTTTGCCTAACTTCTTCTTCAGTAGTTTCCTCTTTGATAGAAGCTGGCTGTTCTGGATCACGCTGCTGTGAGAGACAGCTTTTGTAGATAAGAGCACCGATGAACCGGCAGGCATTCTTGACTGGTTCACAGAGGAAATGTGAAGGAATAGCTGCTGAACTGAAAGGCAATGTGGAAATAAAGTCAAAACTTCACAGTGGGTTTGAGAAGCCTAATCAGATTTCTCCTACCAGCCTGAGTGAGAAAAACTGCACACACACACATTCAGCATAGCGATTATTGATGCGACTGCATGTAGATGATTATGTGAGGTCCTTACTGAAGCAAACACACAAATCTGTCTTCATTTTCCCACTCCTTTTACTTTCGAGGAAAGGAACTGAAGTGTGAACCAGACTCCCAGTTAGGCAAAGGAGATTGTTTCACATTTTTATATACAATCGTACCTTGGATCCCAAACGCCTCCCGAATGCAGCAAACCCGGAAGTCAGTGTTCTGGTTTGCGAATGCTCTTTGGAACCGGAACATCTGACACGGCTTCTGATTGGCCTCAAGAGCTTCCTGCAGCCAATTGGAAGCTGCGCCTTGGTTCCCAAATGTTTTGGGAAGGCGAACGGACTTCAGGAACGGATTCCGTTTGACTTCTGAGGTACCACTGTATTTGGACTTGAACGAATGATAAGAAAGAAGGGGTGAACCTTCTAGCCTTGAACAAAATAATCCAACAGTGCAATCCTGTATATGTAAACTAATTGGCAAGTCCCAATGAGTTCAATGTGTCCCATCTGAATGTTAATGCATTTTAAAAAAAGGAAAGGGGATACGATGTATCATCTGTTAGGAAGCTATTTATAAAGCATCTCCTGGGGTGCTTCAAGACAGAAGCAACCAAAGGTAAGATTTTCGGATAGACAGGAACCTGGAGCTTGAGTAAAATTGATGAGGTGTACATGCAGGTCAGGGGTAAAAATAATATTTCTTCATGCAGGGCACAAACGTACCTAAGTCATCATCACACGTTATACTGGTGGCCATGCATATAATATATCTTTATATATATATATATAAAGACCAAACAAAGGTGCTGTCAGGATAGAGCCAAGACAGTTATCAAGTGTGAGCCAATAGCTGGGAGCCTAAGGGAGGATGAAGTGGGGAGAACACCCATTGAAATCAATGGGACACATATTGGCTGATCTCATTGAATTCAGTGAGTCTGTTCTGAACATGACTAAGTCTGACTCCAACTCAGTGTCTGTTACCAAAATCTCATTTTCTGTGCCATCTGGTGATATGATCTGATGCCATATTCTAAATCATTGAAGGGTTTTGTGATGTTGGGGCCAGGGGTGCCAACTTGAATAAAATGTTGTGGGACCCCAGGTAAGCCCCGTCCTGCATAGCTGATCACAAGAGCATGCAATGTCTATCAGCTTTTGGGGGTGCCCCCCTCAAACATTTTATTGTGGGGGCTGAAGGGACCTTGGCTCCTAGGAGTTCGTTCCTACGGTTGGGGCACAGAACAGCCCATCTATCTTGGACTAAAACAAATATTAAGAAGGATTTAATTTGCTGTCAGCTGCACAGTAAAATATGATTTGTAAGGCAGAGTTAAATGACAACCACTACCATCTTTTATTCAAATCAGTGAGCCAAGCAAAGGATGGATTAATAGAACAAAGATTAAGAATGATCGTAATTCAGCCGGTTATAAGCGCCTAATCCGTTAAGATATGTACAAGAGGAAACCTGTACTTATGAAGCATATATTTGTTCTGCTGAGCTGTTACAATGCAAATAATTAATCAACACATACTTAATGTTTACACTCCATTAAGTGTAGCAAAAGTCAGTGCTTTTGTTTCACGGCGACCCTGACATATCACTTGGTTGAAGTGTAAACGTCCCTCTCTATAGAGCTCTTTGGTTTTTCCCTTTTCTAATTCTGAGTTGAATTTCAAGTGAATAAATTAGTAAATTTATCATTTTCCCTCTAATGGTGTCATATGGACAGTTTGATGAAATAGCTCATTATGGTCAATGAAGTGAAATATGAGTTCCATCAGCACATTTTCATTAAAGAGGGCTACTGGAATTAGTTTGCTGTTATCAAGGACCATGGGATACAAAAATAAAATTAAGCAGACTATTAGCAGATAAATTTAAAGAATGTCCCAACAGAGTTAAAGTGCAATCCACTAAACTGTACAACTATTCTAGTCTCTGTTAAATGAATGGAGGCGGCAGAGGGAGAGTGCCTCGTGAATTGCGGCCTCAGAAAACAACTGCCACAACGAAACACAAAAGAACTATTGTGTGATGAAATGAATTGGGGAGCCTCACTATTAATAGATTAGCGGAAAGAAATTGGATCTAGTTCAGATATCCAAGACATGTGAGTATGCTTACATGCTGCATACTTGTCTTGCGACGCAATCGGACTATCAAAAGTAGTTGCTTCTCCACAGTGATCCTCATACTTTGGAAATCAGAAACAAATCATGTACAGTGGTACCTCGGGTTAAGAACTTAATTCGTTCTGGAGGTCTGTTCTTAACCTGAAACTGTTCTTAACATGAGGTACCACTTTAGCTAATAGGGCCTCCTGCGCCGCCGCCACACGATTTCTGTTCTCATCCTGAAGCAAAGTTCTTAACCCGAGGTACTATTTCTGGGTCAGCGGAGTCTGTAACCTGAAGCGTCTGTAACCCGAGGTACCACTGTATATCTATCTCAACACCTTTGTTGCTAAGACTCCAGTGCTATTGATAAATCCTGCACAGTGTATATTATTTTTATTACACCATCTAGGTCCATTGGCATTATAAGAGAACAGGTATGGTAGATCCATACTTCAAGGTGCTTACAACCTGAAAGAAACAGAAGAAAACAGCAGAGGAAGGAGAAAATGGAGGTTTAAAGTAATAGAAATATAGAGCTGAAAGAGACCACAAGCGTCATCTAGTCCACCACCCTGCAAGGCAGAAATCTTTTGCCTGGGACTCAAACCCATAACCCTGAGATTAAGAGTCTCATGCTCTGCCGACTGAGCCATCCCACCTTGGGGATTGATAGCTAGGGGGAGTGAAATATACTCAGAGTCGCAAAGTGATTTCATGCTCTTTATTCAGCTCATAGTGGTGAGGAGGAATGAATGGAAGTCCCCTCACAGTATCTGCTTTATATACATTATTTACACAATGGGCTGCACATGATTGGCTAATTCCGGAATTCTACTGTAAGCCAATCAGGTTGTGGATTCACTTCTATCTGGAGCAGGATTGGGTGGTTCCTGCCAACCAATCATACTGCTGCATTGTTCTAGGACCAATCAGACTGCTGCATTCTGAATCCTATTGTTCTAGGACCAATCAGACTGCTGCAGTTTGGATCCTATTCAACTCAGTACATAACAGGGAGAATATGTCAGTCTTTCAATTGTATGCATTATAGCTTAGATATAATAAGATATAGGGATGAGTCAGATGTGGAAGACAGATGCAAACCACAATTGCCTGTTGGATATAATGGGCAAGAGTGTTCACCTTGGGCTAGGAATACTAGGTTTTGAATGCTGGCTCATCCACAAACCACACTCTCAGCTTCACCCTGCTGTTGTGAAGTACCTCTGGGAGGTAGGATAAGGCCAAAGAGTGGTTTTCCCAAGGGAGAAGGCAGCAGGAGGAGAGGAAGTGTGGCTAAGCCCTTCGTTGAAGGAAATGTTCTCCCACCAGGGCAATTCCCTCCCTTCCTGTAACACGAGTTCCTTTAATCGCTTTCCAATGCAGAGCCAGCTACTCATTTATCGCTGTTAATTATCGCTGTGATGCTGGATCAGTAAATAAGTTATGTCTGCAATGGGTAAAGCAGTCACATTTATCACCAGGGTTACTGAAGGTTACTGACCATTGACTCTGGGGTTTCCTTGTTGTGGGGATTATTTATTTATTTCCAGTGCTTTTCCCCCCTAAAAAAATATTTAGGGGTACTCCCATTTTCCTACTCATATTGAAATACTGCCCCTCAATGAGGCCAAACTTAGATTCACAAAATGTTTAGGGGTATGCGTCCCCCCCCAGAAAAAAGCAATATTTATTTCTGCAAATTGAGGCTCAGTCTGGGCGACTTGAAAATGTATATGCATTGAGTCATGTAATGTTTGCAGACGAGCGATCCCTCTCACCCACACATGCACACCTCCCCCCCCCCGAAGAGTTACCAGCCACAAGTGTTTACTGCTGTGTGGAATGCTGCTGTACAGTGGTACCTCGGGTTAAGTACTTAATTCGTTCCGGAGGTCCATTCTTAACCTGAAACTGTTCTTAACCTGAAGCACACTTTAGCTAATGGGGCCTCCTGCTGCTGCCGCGCTGCCGGAGCACAATTTCTGTTCTCATCCTGAAGCAAAGTTCTTAAACCAAGGTAATATTTCTGGGTTAGTGGAGTCTGTAACCTGAAGCGTGTGTAACCCGAGATACCACTGTATATGAAATAATCAAGACAGAAATGAAAAGCACAGGTTCTGTTTTATTTTGGATCCGGCCATGGTAGATTTTACAGTCATGGGCTGTGTGTGATAAACTCGTTAATGGTCATTCCCCACAGTTGTTTTTTTTATATTGTCTTTCTTTCTTTTATTGGGACGAAGGGGGATGCTGAACCCTAGCTCTCATTATAACTGTCGTAATGTGGGGGCCGGTTTATTAGGAGCTCGATGGAACTAAATTCACTGCAGCCTAATAATTGTGCTTCAGTTTTAACACGGATAGAATTTCAGCCGGAGGTAAAACAGCCTTATGTTCAATTTTTGTGTGCTATTCCGCCTGCCTCTTTTATCGCGTGCATGTCCGTGGCGCAGAACTATCAAGGAATGTCACAGGATTTTGCATTGCTGACAGCGTCGTTATTAGATTATTCCTATTCCATTATAGAACTGTCTTCGTAGGAAATTCAAAGCTTTCCTAAATCTGTAATCTAAAATAAAGTTAGGCAGCCTTATCTTCAGGGTGTTCTGCTTTTGCCAGCTCTTTTGGAAGTCAATGAGGCTTCTGAGAGAGAAGTGCGGTAATGCCTGGATTTTTTTTTATAAAAAACTTTTTATTTCTTAAAAAAAATAAATCTGAAGGTTGATTGGGTATTTGGAAGGTAATCTTGGTTTGCTCAGATCATGCATAAGATATTACTGCTGATGGCACAAATCACATGCTGGAGTAATTAACCACAATCTATTCTTGCTTTCTATTCCATGTGGGTTTCTTGCAAAACAAAAACAG